CGCCGCGCAGCCCGCGCTGCGCTGCGGACACGGCACCGGCGCGCGGCTGCACGTCGCGCCGTGCGCTGACACGCAGTCCTGGAACACACCATATTACACAATTAAACAACGAAAAACAATAATTAAGTCATTATATGATTTGTAACACGGCTAAAACTCACGTGGGAACTTTCGGTGTAGGCACCGACCAGTTTTAGCCGTGTTATAAATCATATAGTATAATGTCTCACGAAGGTTTTAATAAGTTAATTAGGTCATTGTTAAAGTTTTCTTGTTATTGTTAAAGGGGCGGGAACAACGAGATGATCAACGACGACCATGGACCAGAGGAAATGATAAGCTCGCTTCTTGAAGGACCCTAAGTCGTATTGGTTTCGTCTCCAAGATGTGGTAGATTAAGTTACTACCTTTGTAGACACAACTAATTCAATAAACAAGACATATTTGTCTAGTTGAATCTCAATAATATTGAGCTACTAAGTCTATTAATTTGTTTTCTTTCAAAGGTGTTACTAACATATGATCAAGATATTATTGAACTGTTTGGTTGGTACGATACACGCTTGCTTAGAAGTAATAAAATAAATTTTAATTTCAATCGTAACTCAAAGCAAGCGCGGCAACAAGCACAAGATATGATTTACACACAGTAATAACTGTATCCGGCCAACATAAACACCGATTTTTTCCTGCCGTACTAATACATTGTATAAACAAAGCGTTTAAAACTAAAATAAAATTACATCTAGCCGTAAAATTGTTAACAGTATATTATTATATGTCATCGATTCAAAGCAGCTCTTTTTTAACTTCAGGGACACGTTTATCCCTGCAGTTACTGCAAAATCAGTATGCAGTTGTATACCTGCGTGTACTTCTGTCCGCAGTGCGGGCAGGGCACGAGCCGCTTGCTGCAGTGCAGCTGCGCGTGTTGCAGCGTGTGTCGACGCTGCACCTTCGCGCCGCATTTGTTCTCGCAGTATACCGGCTCGTGACCGCAGTTACCCTGATGTTCCTGCAATTTAATAAAAAATTATTTACAAAAGTACACTAAAGAACTTTAATTATGAAAATAGTACAGTTAGGGAATTTGGCGGCGTTCCATGTTATAATTACAGTAGTTTCAACATTTTGTAAACATTGAGGCGACGCAGGACAATAATATAAAGAACGCTGCTTTTAAATGTTGATAAACAACGATTTTATTATCATCCTCTCTCTTGCACAAGTCACTCCTACCTAATTGCTTATTTGTTTCGTAAGAAAACGCGAAATTTCTTTATTAGCTAGAAACAAGACAATACTATACATAAGTTGAACACCGCCGAATTCCGCGACTGTACATTTGAACAGTTAGACCGAAGACAATGATAAATTGAGAGACATGTGACATGATTAAGAAAGCGATAGAAATGACGGAAGATCTTACGAGGAAGGATAGAATTCGACCTTATGTGAATGAGATAAGAACAAGTTGATGAAGTAGTTAAGGCAGGATGTCTTATAGATGTGCTGACCTCTAGCGCGCTGCCGGAGAACTCCTTATTGCAGTGTTGGCAATGCGCGCGGCGGCGCGGGCAGGTGTACCGCAGGTGATCTTGCATCAGCACGCGCGGGATCATGGCGCCGCACTGCGCCGCGCAAAGCACCGCGTCATGCTTGCATGTGTTCAAGTGCGCCTGTAAAAAAACAAAATAAACTCAACGTTCACCTCTAGCCTATCTTTGACGCAAATGTTACTTTAGAAATATTACGTCATAAATACGATTACAAGTTATTGATAAACAGTTTACGTCAAACATTATCGGATCAACTGACTCATGGAAATCCCCAGAACCATTATCATGTCAAAAGTTATCCAAAAATTTAAAAAAAAAACGGTACGGTTAAGACGAATAAAACTTAATATAGCTCCAATGTTATTACTACCTTATTTTAGTGCATGTTTCTTGTAGCAAACAGTGTTGCCCTAATTTAAAAGGCGTTATAACGAACTTAAACGTGACGCAATAGCGTTAAAGCCAATAACTATAAAACGTTTATTGCAGTCATAAATAAACAGTAAACGGTGGTCACCTAAGTGGCGAGAAAACCATCTTTATACTTAAATCTATTTTCACATCAAATAAATTTTAACATTAATTATAAGAGTTACATTTTCTGTACCATACATAACACTGAAATTTAAAATAGGTTGTCAATCTGTAAGTACACGTGTACCTTCCGAAAATAATACAGATAAAAAATACCAGATTACTATGTACTTGTAGTAGACATAGTGATTGATTGCGCGCCCTCATTTCTAGGTACACATTTTATTTATTCAAATATAAAATATTCTCGATAACTCACCTTCAATTTGCGTAATTCATCCGACCATTGGCATCCTTCCTTGTGGTGGATGCAGTACACCACTGACCCCATTATCGCCTTCTCAGACTCAGGGTCGGGATATATCTGTAACAATTAAAATTACATTTAAATAAATGCACAAATAACACTAATAATGTCTTATAATCACAATAAACACCTTCTTCTTAATCTTATTAAGGATATATTTAAACATTTTGCTGGATAAATTGTAAGAGTGAAAACACGAACGTCAAAAGCAACGGTTGCCGCTAAGACTGATGGAAGCGCTGGGCACACATATCGGATTAAATAGGACAACGCGATCAAAAATAAACCACATCTCAAAAAGAGAATATCAAACAAGCGTAAGCCGTACGCACCGTGCGCTCGAAAATGGAACACATCGTACAAATATGCAAAATGGCCGCCCGTTTTTCGCGGGCAATAAATCGGACAGAAGCGTCCACGCCAAGGGCCCGATACAAAATGAAAACGTTCCCGTTTGTTCATTTTCGTTATCTTTATGGGTGCAACGAACAGATGGCTCGCAGCACGGACCACCGCTCCCTTGTGTGGCAACAGATAAGCGTGATTTTTCACTTCCCAAACCAACTGCGTAATGGAACAAGCAAATAGCTTTGTTAGATTCCTTCTCGTGCGGTATTTTCACACCGATAAGCTAATTTTTCTTTGAATTCAAACCAAAATGCGATAAAGTAAAGTTTATCCGACATATTATGCATTTAAGCAAATAATATCGAGGACATAGGAAATGTTTGTAAACATTGTTATACAAAATGCATGGCATATAAAACACATTTAAGAAGACACAAAGATGTCAAAGCCAACTCAAACACCTCACAATGTGAAAAATGTCAAAACGATGAAAAAGATAATTAGACATTCATCGAAAAGTTTTTAGGTTGAACTGAAACACATTGTGACGGTGAAGCAGCGATGGATTTGGAACCTTGTAGTACGAAAGACATCAAAGAAGTTTAGTGGTATCCAGCGTTCTATTTACAAACATTGATGCATGTGGTCATCGGCATGGCTGCCGCATAACCGTACCACCACCTTAAGATCTATATTGTAAGCAGCAAGACAAAGCACCTTATTTCTGCTGCAAAAATTTACGAAAACAAATCTTATGTTTATATCATAAGGTCTGATTTCGTTCGGAAATTGAACAACGCATAGGTGCACTTAAGCAGGCGTGTAAAATTTCAAATATAGAATGTTATTTGTGTCGTATTCTAAAAAGATGGACCGCGATGTGTTGAACTCTCCCGCATCGCTCAATTATAGAACCCGATGTAACGTAAACATGGCGGACTGGAGACGTCACAGGTCAACCAAACCGTCCCTTACCTTATGTTGCAAAACATCAAAACCAGTAGAATATTCAATACACTTAAGAAATATTCTCAAGTTCTAACTATTTTAAAGTTTATTAAATTCTAAACTGTACCTAAAATGACTTAAATGAATGAAATAATTAATTTGTAAACATTTATCTGTAAGGATTTCCTTATTCACTAATAAGTATAACTTATAATTCAAAAGGTATATAAAATGTTAAATTAAAACATCGCTTAGGAGATATAAATTTTAAAACGTTATGAATTGATCGAAGGTTAGTATGTCTGGACGCGTGGGTTTCGATAATGTTATAGGCTCCTGTGGGCGGAGGTGTTGCCTTGTAATTAGACGTTTTATACCATATATGATCTCCAACCGGTATGTCAGACCACAAGCGAGATGACCATTTCTCAATAAATTCCGATCAAGCAAGGATTAAGGTGTGTCAATAAAAAATGTAATTAAAACACAGTTAGAATAATTCTACTGATTTGAATGTAAAAAAATATTCAAATTGTCACCTGACATTTGAACTGCCATTTGGTAATTTTAAACGTTGATAGATGGCGTTGATTGTAATCAAAATCAATCGAGTAAAAAAATCCATCACTAATTTAAAAAAGGCAGCAACCTACCACATAATGTAAAAGAATATGCGTTTTATATAGTATAATAACATTTTATGTTAAAGTGTGAATATTTACAGCTGTAACTGCAAATAAAACCAATGCGTTATGATATATGACCACTCGTACGAGTCACATATGTTCTGGATGATTCTAATTCGTTTGCACAGAGCTTGTTACCGGTATAGTTTGCGCAACTGTTATTTAGATCTTAATTGTTTGTGTTCAACAAATCGTTCGTTGATTTTGGCGGTAAACACTGAATAATAGTCAATCAATTCTAAAAAAAAACCTAAACATTTTCAACTAGAAACCCGACATGAGAATTATGGATGGAGATTATCCTAATCTTTTAACTTACAACTCATTTTGCAATCGTATAATATAAAATTTGCATGCTTTGTAAAACTAAAACAGGATGTGTTTACGTAATTGGAACGAAACGCAATAACAATCCGCCATTTTGTGGCGCGAACAATGTTGTGACAATTGTGCCCTAATTTAGGAATTGGCGGGAAATATTTTGCAGACAATTTATAGCATTAATTAGCAATAACATAAATTATTTAGGTCTTAATATCTAATTGAATATAACAGATAATTTAAGATAACTTAACCTAATTATTACATAATATCTGCCAATGCTAAAAGCAAGTTCTTTGCTTGCATTTTTTTACAATAAAGAACAGAGTACTGTTTTATGTAAGAGACACATAATTTTAAAAACGTTTTGCTCGTAATTTATTTATATCTATGGTTTAAACTTTGACAAAACACTTTCTGTTTTCGTTCTGGTAACAACAGTTGATTGACGCGTGTCGACCCTCCGTCTTGACATTGACATGTTAGTCCCTTAGGATTAAGGGTTTAAAGTTTAAAATGGTGTAAAATAACTTTTGAAGTGATTACAAACTGGAGTACCTGTCAAGCTATCGGCAGGCGATGTCGTGGGAATGTAAACACGTTGGCCGGGTCACAGAATCACTAACACTCTTAGAGAGGAACTTAGTTGTACCGATGAATGATATGACAAGACTGTAGCCAAAACTACTAAGACCAGTAAATAAATATTCCTGTATTGTGGAGAAAAGAAATGGTTTCGCGGTATCAATTAGGTAATTAGGTCTAATGACGTCCTATTTCACTGTAAAAGTCACAATTTTTTTGTAGTAGTAATTCAGTGAAATAGTATATAGCGGGATCAAAATCACTTTTATTGTATTTTAATATTTAACGATCACGATTATTATCATCGTGATAAATGATGTTATTCGCCAGTTTTTGTGGAAATATTGATACTGGCAACATTACATTATTTACATTAACTGTCAAACGTCTTGTAGACATCTAGACGATGGTGTTAGGACGGAAGCGGGTTCGATGTCCGTGCGGCGCTTGGCATAATGATTGCTACTGTAATTACCACTGTGTTAGTGTGCTCCAGCCACGCCTAGCACAACAATGTCCATTTTGAATTATTCAACGTTTCCACAGATATTTAAATGAAGCTATCGTCTGTGAATTTGGGTAGAAATATTCTGGACAATGATGTCAGCAGCAATCAATATGGGTTCATTGTATAGTACATCGGTCAGTTAATCCAATCTAGTTTGAGGCTTGACATACATAAAAAAATAATGCAACTGCCTTTACTAGATTTATTATTTCAGACGCTGTATTAAAAAATAATCCTGCCATCATTATGACGCCCCATTATTTTCTTTTCATCATAAATAACATGGCGAGAATAACCTAATTGTAATGATGATAGACAATCAAGTTCGTTTATATCTCTCTTTGTTTACGTCGATGTCGATCTCATTGTTTACTGATCGATCAACAATCGTTAAATAGAAATTATAGACAATCACTGGCAGTTTACGATTTTAAACAGGCCATAAACACATCAAAAAAATTAATTGAAAAATATTTTAAAATTAAGAACATTTTTAATTTTCGAACGCACCGTAAATAAAAGATGCATTTGAAAATAGAACACTTAATTTGAAAGCGTTCGGAACATGATATCAATTAGGTTGTCTGTCATCGCGGCATGAACGTGTCGTTTTACATTTAATTCTATTTCTGTGAACCGTCAAGTAAATAAACGTGAAAATGTAAAACAATGTAAGGAAAATACCAACATTTCTTTGTCTCATCCAAATTAAAAAAAAAAACAAAAGATGTTAACGGCTTCTGTGATATTTTCTTATTTTATTTTGTTGATTCTACAAGTTATGTTAGATAGTATTTACCTAAATTACATCAGCAAATTGTAAAAACTCTGACTAATTTTAATGAGAAAACCGTAGAAGGCCAAATCGGTAAAGTGAAGAGAGGAAGAATAAAAAAAAAACGTTCCAGTCCAAACACGTCGATATAATTAAGCCTAAAAACTCGACGAATTCGACACGGTTCCCTGAGTCTTTAACGATACTAAATTGCTTTAATCCAAATACCACGGATCTATCCAAGTGTGTTTATATTTTTAACCTATTAGCTAATAGAAAACGAAAATGCAATTTCTTGTATCGATGTTTTGACACGTCTTGAGGATTGCCAGTATCAAGAAACAATCCACTGAATTCGAAAATGCTGATAAACAAGGATAAATGTCATCCGTGTTTTACTAAAAGCAAACAATGATACGAATTCTCTAGAGGAATATAAATAAACTAGAAATTATTTCTATTGAACGTAAGCTATATGAGGTAATTGATTTAAAATTAAGTCATAATATAAACATTATCTCGCTTATTTTAAGTTAATTATCTCGGTTATAGAAAACATAAATGCGTTTCTAGTGAATTGTAAATCAAATTGGGATCATTATCTGAACGGACCGGATACTGCTGTGTCAAACGTCAGCTGTCAAATTTACTTGTCAACGTCATTATCATTAGGACTGAAATTACTACTTTATTTACTTACATTATCATTTTGGTTGTCAAACATTAAATAAACAATAGTTTCCACTAAATAAATTAACTAAATTTTCGTTAGTTAATTGAAATTTCTCTTATATAATCGTTGACATTTGATTTCAAGTCCGGTATAATAATCTCGCCCGACAAGCCAATTCATTCAACAAGTGTGACCTTACATCTCTCGAGTCAC